TTTACTTAAATATGTGATCGTTCTGCTCGGTTCCTGCTCTTTTCGGCTCTGGCGGAGCGCTACCCGAAAAAAAGAAAAAAAAAACATACGAACCATTAGATTACCGCTTCGGCGTTAGAAAAACAATGAAACAATAAAGACTCGCTCTTCTCGAGCCTCAGCTTGCGTTCTGTGTGGTGACAGTTGGTCGGGCGCACCCGACGCACCCTCATTCTGTCACCTGACGTTTCATATTTCTCTCTTCGACTCATGCTCCTCTTCTCGTTACCACCACCTACACCTGACCAAATCTTCTTCGAATTGACAAAATATGGGTCCCTGCCCGGCGTCTTCCTCTATTTAGCCTACGTAAATGTACTTCGGATATATATACACATAGAGTTTCTTTTGTATCGCTCCGGCTCCTACTAGAAGTAGCCTTAGCTAACGATTAGATGTATAGAAGAAGAAAATATAGAATATAGGGAAAAGTATCAAAATTGACTTTATCATCGACCAGGCACGTCGTCGAATCGAGAAACCTTCGACCTATGTGGAGGTTGAACGTACTGTGTCTGGACAACACTAAGCCAGTTACGATGGCGGAGACGGCGGCGATATCTCGAATTGATTATAAATGCCTAATGTTTATATTGTATTTTTTTGAAATGTTTTTGTTTTCGCTATTGTTGCTGCTGTTGTTCAAATCTATTTTTTTATCACAATCTTTCCAGTATTGTCAGCGTATTTATTCGAAGCATCTTCCATCTTCGCCAGCGGTACCGGTTGTGGCAAGTGAGTTCCGTTTATCCGCTGGCAAACGTGAGGAGTACGTGGCGTATTTTCTCATAGAAAACACAGAGAACGTAAACGTGGTGATCTATTTTGTTATTAGTCGGCAGGCGGCAACACGCGTGCGGCGCCGGACAAATTTTTTAACTCTAACTTACTAGTTTAAACTCGGTTTCTTGTACGCGCTGGTGAAGGGCTGGTACGAGGGACGCGGTCAATAACAAAAAGCAGACCCGTAATGATACGATCAAACTAATTAAAACGTTGTCGATTTCAAGGGAGGATAACCTTTTGTTACCATTATACCAAAGACATTCATATTAAATTGTTAAAACTCAATTGATGGGTGGATCCAAAGGAAACAGACAAATCCCTATAAGATTAAACCCGCATTCAATAGTACTGCAGCGGTCATATGGAAGCGAACTGTTAGGGTAGAGCGTGCTCTACCATATAAAAACTATATATCATAGTGCTATATAAGCGTTAGATATGTTATTATATTATAGAATGGAGATTGTGTATGGTTATGTTATGCTGCTGGAATTGTGCATTTTCGCTATTAAAATTCTACCCATCTTGCAATATGTGATTGATCTTTTTGATCAATTAACATAGCGGCTCCGTTGCTTGCTAGCGGATAAGTAAGTTCAATACGTTTAAACGATGAACGTCTAAAAATCACGTAGATGCTGCGGTAGAAGGCTCGAATTGGAAAAAAAAAATTATACCGAGCAAAGAATAGGCTCATCAAAGGTAAGGCCGCATTGCAGTATGAAATTGCTCTTTATTGTGATAGCAGCTATGTGAAGTGCTTGTTTGAATAGGACAATCCTTATATCTAAGGTGCCTATGTACTTGAATGAACACAGAAAGTCTAACTTCTCTTGATCTAACTCTGCTTTGTTAAAATTAACTGTTGATCGAGAAAAGCAAGTAGAAACAAAGAGCTTTCGGAACGCCGTTTCCTACAGCTGATCGTCAATACATCTTAAGCGTGTTTAATCAACGATACGAATTGACCTGAGCCCCCTTGTTACATTTATCTAAAATAATCAAAGGGTAACAATTTTTACAGAATTATGCGTGACCGAGGTAAATAGATGGCCAATGATGTCGACGGTACGAATGGCAACGGCACTCATACGATTTAAAATACGTTTCTGATACTTTCTACAATCTTATCTATTATCCGTACGGTTTGATCTCCCTTCTATAAAACTGAAATACGCTAGTCTTTTATAACTGAGGTGTTCCGAAACCGTACTATGTCTATCATTCCAGCCAGATATACACTGACCATTACGCTCGCTGCAATTAGTCCTAGATGTTGTCGACTTTATGGCTTACTCTTGCAATCCTGCGAAAGGTAACAACGTATCCATGTGTATCTGCACCGTTAAGGCACTGAATCCCTTCTAATTTTGAGTCCAGCTCTCCGAAAAGATTCACACATGTTACAAAGGTTTCACCTATTTCGGTCAAATACAGAGTTCTTCATAGCAAATTGGAGAAAATCACCTGCGGTTATTTAGCTCATGATTAAAATGAAACCTGCATTCTGTTCACTAGTATACGATATTACGTGGCACTACAACGATCCTAAAGCTACAGTTTAGCCTGATCAGGGATAAGCTTCTGCTAGAAAGAGGCCTCTACTTGGACTATTTAGTGAAATATTTTGGACTCCAGGAGTAGTTGTTCTTCCTCAACAGTTGTTTACAACTTGGCGCATCGGTTTCATCAAACTTCATAGAATCCTTGTCAGTGTACAACTAGGCAGAAAGACCTCTGACATCTCAGCCGAATCCACCTGCCGAATCCGAAGGCACACGTTAATGCTACCGCATGATATCTTCATTACATACGTGGAAACGAAAAAAAAAACAGATCTTTGACTCGAGCTTCGTTGACTTTTAGAGTAGATCGCGGGTAATCGAGGATCTGTCGCTCGCACATTATCTAAGGCAGCGATTTAAAGTAAAAGATCAATTAGTTATAAACTATTCAGTTTGTCCCAGGAACTGTTCCTATGTCAATGGAACCGATCCTTATCGAGGACAACGTTTGTTCTGGGCGAGTTCTTTCGCCCAACTTTGCATACATTTCTCATATAAGACAGTTGGGTCAACGAACGCCGACACAACGCAAGGTCCCGTCAATATCTTTACTTCCATAAACAATCCAGGGTCAAACTCTATCTACACCCATTCGATACGACAATCCAGGTAGGGATTCAGCCAATAGTAGTCATCAGGGCTTGGGTGAGGAGCTCTCCTCTTGCGGTGTACGTATTGCGGTGTACGTAGTCACCACATAAGCATGCAGAAGCTCCAGTTGAGGTGGTATGTCTGAAAATTTCTACCGGTATCCATCAAAAGGCGCTGAAAACCATATGGCGCCACCTAACTCTAATTGTATAAAGGAACTAAATGGCCGGGTAGCCAGACGATATCCAGCCACTGACTTCACGATATATAAGGAGCTGATTCTAGGAATGGGTAACCCAAAATTGAGTCAGCTGGAAACGAAATCTGGAAACGGGTGATTTGTACGACGACATCATCTGGCGTTTCGAAATCATCTGGCAGTCTTGTGCCGAATTGTCATTTCATCAATGCGATAGGTATTGTCGCACAATATTGGCTACTTCCAAAATCTCCATGTTGTTATCGTACTGTTTAGTCGTAACCATTTTCGTCTAACATTAATTGTTGTATTCTTAGGAAAGTGATATTGAGGAACGTAGTGATCTCAGCGATATTTCCTCATCAGCGGGAGATACAGGTGCTGTTGAGTCACACTGAAGAGTCACTCTCAGGACAGAACTTCATCAAAATTTCGTGCCGGTACCCTTTGAATGGATGAGTCATTCAGGTAGTTGTGAGGGTCCTATTTACGTTCATCGGTAAGAGGCGACTGGCCTCGATAAAGCGTGACTGTGCTGTGCTGCGGATAGCATAAAAGCTAAATTGTTTAGCGGACATATCTGGAATGGCCTTATGCTATTTACAAATTATCAAGCTGCTAATTCTTGAGCTTCGAAAAAATAATTCGAACTAGTATATTATCTCTGTACTCAATTCAGCATATCTATACGTTCTAGCAATAAATAAACTAGCAGAGTCAAAAAGCATTAGATCTTCAATTAATATAATCCAGAAGCATAAATATCACAGATAAATATGCTTTTTCTGTTGCCCACCCGGTGGGCTACGTTTCGTCACGCTCACGTGACAAGCGCTTTTCATGACGGAAGTCATTACGGATGCCTCGTCCGTAAAATTTTTAGCAGTACCATGACCATTCTGAATGTATCTAGAATTAGAGGGACGATCGGTGACATTATTGTTGTTTAGTTAGTGGACTAACTAATATCCATAGAAGGGATGACGCAAGCGCTTCTGTCGAAGAGCGAATGCATCGTCTACTGACGGCCACCTGTATGCATGGCCGCACTGAGCTGCTACAGAAAAAGTGTGTCCTCTGCGTAGCAGTGCAACAGTCAGACAGAGCCAGAAATGATCCTATAAATGCTGATACGATCACAGGACCAGCACGCCAGGTTGGCACCATCTAATCAGTAACTTTGTTAAAACAAATGTGATCGGCTAAAAGTCTAAGTCAAGAGAAGTTTCGAATGGACGCCGGTGAATCGCCCGAGCTTGCATCTATCTCTAAATGGAAGTCGTAGTCTATTTAGGCTTCATAACGCGAGCCATTGATCTTCACCCTTATGATTCCTATTCAGTCTAGACTCACAGTATTTATACCTTGTTAAGCCTCAGAAAAATCCATTTGTTTCGTATCAATAATTTCCAAAGTGATCCTTCACCACAACTCACAACTATGTTAATTTCCATGCAATTAGAGACGAAGGAAGTTTCTCTGTGACTTTCTAGCCCCACGTACTTTTCTTACGCGAAATATATCTTATTTGTTTGATAAAAACGTGTCCATGTACGTATATATCATACGTCTTTATGCAATCCTCACTTCCTATGTAACCGAAGAAATGTCAAGTGAAGTTTTCACAAAAAAGAAATCGGACGATTTTTTGGATCGAGTACTGTTTTTACAAGTATCGAGTACTATTTTTATCGAGTACAATTTTTCTATGAATGAATTACAACAATTTGAATTTATACTATTTCGGTTCAAAGTCTTCGCTGCTTTTTCTATCTATTAATTTCGATGGGCCATTAGACTTTACCAGGGAGCTAGCAATGCCATCGTAGAAATGCTCGTTGCATTGCAAAACGGACACGTTGAGAGAACGTATTGCGTACTGCTTACGCGCTTGTGTGTATATGTGTCTTTTGAGCATGAGTAATCTGGATGGCTTTGGAGTCATGGGTTTGTGGAATCGCCTCAGGATGCTACGATGACGCACCATCGGCCCGTTGACTGTGCTTTGCCCGCGCTCGGCCCGTTAACACATTTACGCTGTGAGCAAAAAAGTAATCCATCTCTGAGCGAGACAGGTATCACCATAACACATATACCCTTCCGCTTTTTCAGACTAACTGGCTAGCTGGCATACGCTAACGGGCTCTCACGCAATAACTTTTAGACGTATATCATACCAGGAAATTCCTGCGGTTTGCAGTGTAGTTTCCATGTTCTTTAGCTCTCCCTTAACAAAGAGACACAATTGGAGTAAACCCACGACGGATACAAACGCCGCTGGCAGAGGTCCGTCCTAATGGTTCAACCCGTAGACTCGTTCGCCCCCCGTATCACCTTCTCGTAGCCTTCTGATCGACACACAAACTTGCTCATAGAGCTTTCCAGTGCTCTCGGTTGAACTAGAATCGGACTTATATCATCAGGGCTTGCCCAGCGTTTTCGTGTCAGCGAAGCCCTAACTGGTTTAGCATTGTAGCGGCACGCTGTTGTCACAGTTCGAGAGAGGGCAATCAGAGGCGGCTCCCTGCTGGGGAAGGGCAGGCCAGAATGGACTAGGTGCTAGCCTAGAAAAGGGGCAGCACACTCTGCGCGACGTCGGAGCCAAGCACAGACCAAAAGCACATAACCGGCTGGACAGCGAGGGAGCTGCCCCGCCATTCACAGCAATGAAGTGTAACAGTTGACACCATCTAGCCTCAGTGGACGTCCATTTCAGGAATCATATGGTAAGTCGGATTTAGGTCGATTCGTTAGCGGTTAATTAGAGCTAGACGCAATTACTGGACACTATTCCTTGGCATTATCTGAAATACCTCCCTGTCTCGACTTGATGCATGATGAAAGGAGTTCGGATACATCGTGTTGTAACGAGGCTGATTTTCGCCAAATTTTAACTTGGACAAACGTAGAGTCGAGTCTGTCGAAACGCTATGGCTATTTTGTAGCTGTATGTAAAAGCCGCAGCAGAAAATTTTTCTTTCGATAATTTGTTTCTAGACCTGTTGCACTTCGTCTAGATTCTACGAAATCAGCTATTTTGAAGTTTGTCTGACCATGGCTGTCTTAAATTACATAGTAGCCTAAACTGGCATCTTTTTGATAGCCCAATTACGGCGTAGAATTTTTTAATCTTAAAATGGAATTAAGTAGTTTTAGCAAGTCGCTAAAAATATGAGAGATCTACATATTCAATTCTATTTTTATCCCTATTATGTAAAGTCAAATCAAGTTAGGACGAACAAATCTCTATTATCTGATGAAATGCCCAACGCAATTTCTAACGTAAAGCTTAAAAACCTTGCTAAACAAACGCTTTTTGAGCCAAAGAAGGGGCATTCTAGCTAAGCTTTAATATAAGTTTCTTGGAACAGGGCGAAGGTGGTGAATCGAAATGTTTATAACACAAAAATCACTTGTAAATTTCCAACCTAGTGTTACATTAATATAAAATGTAATATCTTATCAAACCTCAAATACAAACCCAAGTTTACTTCCGCCTTCCTTTTTCCTGACGCTAGTCATCTTCATAGAATATCTAACAGCGAGCATTGCGCATCTTGCAAGAATTTGGTCAGACTATTACAGAAAGCGGGTTATTTCTGCCCCTATTATTCTGGGATCCCAAAATGCTCGCCGTGCAGTGCCACCTACCTCGAACTCACTTAGCGCATCCGTACAGTCCGCGGAAGGTTTACACAGCCCGGAAAGGCAATGCGGGGGGTGGGGAGCATGAGTTTAGCAGACGGGGTTCGTTGACCTGGCTGACACATCAGGAGTCAGCGGAGTCCGTTCGCCCCCGGGGCAGAATGGCCCTTCTCAGTGTGGAGTTTTCTTGATCGGGTAGAGGGAGGTCGAATAACATTGAGCTGACATATAGGGTGAAAGCACGGACGAAGCGGCGACTTTGGAAAGTCCAAGGATTTTCGCCAGAGGAGTGAAAACGTAATTTTTTTCGCATAGTACGTATACCTTATATAGAAAGTCGATATATATTTTTATTGTCCGAACTATATTTACAAAAAGAAATGAAAACGATTTGAACAATGCTGCGGCGGTCACCCGATCAGAATTGTATTAGGCAATACCCCCCACCGATGTAGTGCGATATTACAGCAGGTATGCAGTGCTGCAGTGTTTTGGCATGTTATTGGATTTCAAGAGTTCGCAGGTAACACATCTGTAACTACTTAAATTAACTTGGAACGGAAACAGAATCACAAACATTTCAGGGAACGTTTCACTTAGTCGAGAAACGGCTCTTTGTTTTGTCCTATTTTACATAGGCCAAACCCACGACATCCAAGGAACCGGGCCGTCTACACCCGGATAAGTTCCTGCCACAATGTTGATGAATAAAATTGCACTCCACTAGCAGAGTCCATACGTAGGTTAGTCGAATTATTTTTTACTCTGTCTAGTAAAGGCCAACCGCCTAAGTAATACTTAACTATAACAGAAGAACCGGAGACGAGACTCGAGACATTTTTTTAGAATTTCCAGTAACACTTCGAATTCTCATACAAATGGTCATCTTATAACAATATCCATCTATGTCCATAAACCTGGAACAGGAAAACCTTCTGTCTAAAACAGCTGCATTATATTATCTTTACAGGCTACCCTTAGCTTTCAGCTGCACCTCCACACAAAATTTGGCTGTCATCATCATCAACAATGATTTCTGCTAGGCGTGCTATTATTACTCGCTGCTTTAGCACCGGAAACGTCATCAAATCATCACTGTAATGTACCACTGGCCTGAACGAGAATCCAGTGCAGAATCAGAAGCACTGCCAAAAGCCAAGACTACTTTTTTGCTCATAACCCGCTCCGTAGTTGTTCTGCTTAAGAAGTAATTGCGTGCGTGTGTGTAAGGTTCCCGCTTGGACAGCTTCTTCTGGACGCATGCTCTCGATAGACCCGCTAGATTAACCAAGCTTTTTTAAAACTGCCTAGTGCACAAGAGGACCTCTGGCAATCGCCAGTGTCTCTGTGGCACAGCGCTAGGGCAGCTAAGACCTGAAAGGACCCTATAATCCTGGATCTTCGTGTCCTCCTACAGCTAGTTCGAAACACCTTTCTCGACACCTAATCCATTCAACATCTTTCTCGAGACTTCCGGTATTCCGAGGAGACAACGCACCATTGACGGCCATCGAAAAGACATGAGATTTCAGCGACCTCTAGAAAATCGGATGCGAGAAATGTAGCCCAGTGTTCGCGATGTCAGCACCAGTATGAATCCACCCTATAACGATCGCTTCGTAACGTATGACTTTTACATACATTATGTTCTCCAGTCGCTAACATGATTGGACTCTAAAAGTGTCCAGATATCATACGGCAGCCAAGAAACATACATTCATTCGTACTGTATGGATGCATTCATCGCTAAAATCAGGTACAAACTTTGTTTGAGCGCAGAAATTGGTAGCTGGAACAAACTACCCTCAATAGGCATCTTTTCGAGTCTGCTGTTCCTATTCGTACCAGGAACGCGAACTACAGCCAGATGAACGGTTCTCATATTGAAATCTATTAGCGTTTGGGTTGGTACTAGAAATTCCATAGGCAATTTTCTGTATGTTTCCTGAGCAATTCCATGTCGTCCTCTCTGGCAGGGAATCTCATCGAGCTCTCATAAAGCTTGTGTTTTATAATATTCTTGAGAAATGCGTCGTCAAGCGATAACATATATGACTCATGGCTATGTCGTGGCGATGATGGCCTGCTGAAACGTCCCTCAGATCTTCAGTGAGCAATCGATTGTCCCCCATAAATTACCCGAACGTGCGTTAATCTCAGATTCATTCAACTTAGAATAGTCGTGAAGCGTCTTTCGTGTGATATCTGGCACACTGGCATGAAATCTATTTTTGCTGAATATGCAAGCACTACCGAAGTATGCATTTTATTATTGAATGTAACGTACACGTACACGTACCAACCTAAACATATCATCGACTTCTAAAAATGGCTCCTATCAGTATTATATCTCTGTTGAGCATTTACTAATTTACAGCACAGTGAATAGGCAGCGTCGAGTGCTTAGATGCCCTAATTACCAGCTAGCCACTGCCTGCGATTGATTTCTGTTTTCTGCCTTCGTGCCAATATGGGGTGGGCTTATCTTGTTTTAGGCAGGCTCGCTTGTAATTCAGAATCAGATCGCTCCCAGAACGGTAAAAAATGAATGTGGCAGAGTCTCAAAGCTTTTTTCTCCCCTGTTCATCTATCTGCAGTAAATAATCTCTATATTCTATTTGACCTATATACGCAGCTAAATATATACGCATTTTATATATACCGAGTTTTTGCGAAGTACGAAGGACGACGCGGTAGAAGTTAGTGGACAAGCATTTTTAGCATCAACTAGACGAAATTTGTTGGCGTTCGTCGACATTTATTGTTGTGAGAACTTGCAAGGCTTTTTGAGAGACTTTGTTTGATCGCCTTTTAAAGGCCGGTGGAGTCGTCCTTAAAAGGCAATAAATAACAATTGTCCGAACGACCTTGTATGGGTACATAGTAGTGTTTGGCAAGCATTTTTCAGAGCGTAGCGTTGCTAAACGAGCATATGCAGAAACAGTTCCCTTACGAAGTGCTTAAGATATAAGACAAGACGTCGCTAACATGAGTAATCTAGACGTACTTAAAATGTTATTATAATAATATACTTTGATTAGGTTAAAGGCCCACCTTCTTCCCTAAAAAACCAATGCGCTTATGTCGGAATGTTAAAATGCGTCTTCCCAGTGATGTTTCAAGCTTTCGGCCAGTCTGTTAACTCGTATCTATTAGGTCGACTACCGTGTAGGTTTTTTTTTCCTGACTATTGATATGCAGTAGAAGGCGGCCAAGGGTATTTGTATCAAAGAGTAGATCTGCAGGTAGATGTGTTTCAATATTCGAGATAGATGTTCGATCGAACAAAAGGGGTCACGTTGCAACACTCTGGTACTGAAGTGATCCACTATTCATAGTACGAATGTGCTCCGAAGGTTCCGGCTAAGGCAGAAGAGTATTTCTGCACCCAAAAAAAGCGAATCTTCCAAATTTCATAGCTCATTTTCCAGTTGCTCCTTTATCTCTTTCTTAGAATGGAAACGTTTTACCGTGTTCCCTGTGCTTTGGCTATTTAACCACTTCTATCGAATTTTGTAAACTGTAGTAGATAAGGGACCAAACAGCAAGCCTCTATACGACTACATGGGCAGCAACCGCTCGTGCGAAAAATATCTCGTACGGAAACCCATATACTTCATGGATCGTTGAATGTAAGCCGGTCAGTGGATTGGCGTGATATGGCAAACATTTGGCCCTACCAATTAAATGGGTCAAATATGCGGCGGCAATGTCTATCTGACTAAGCCAACTTGCGTGGAACCTGGAGGCGAATCAATTTTCAAGTTATTTTCCATGCTCCCGCTTTTCTGCCCTCTCGGTAGTACATACACAACCAGTGAAGCACTTTGTTTATCCGAGACAATCAGCATCCCTGAGTCCAGTCTCAAGAATCGGTTCCAACCTGCGGTCGGTTATAAGCTTTCTCATAATGTTGGTATATCCATTTGAAGGCAGAAAGTGACGATCTTTTCTTGCATACACGTTGCGTACGATTGTGAAACTAAGTGTTTATAATCATTGACCAATCACGTTCTTGAGCACTCCACGCATTACCAGTCAACTTGCGATATCTCACAGTGTATGCTCGTTTAGACGCTGTCCTGATGACCTGTTTTGCTGTGAAGTGTTTGTTGCCCATCAAAGCTAACAACAACAACAACAACAACTGGACTCTCTATAGCTCGCTCGAGCCTCTATGCTGAATAATTTTTGTTCTATTTCTGGAATCCCCTTGATGCCGTTGCCGATCTGGCACTACGCCTTAGAAAATTCACCACGTGAGCACTCCTAGGCTTAGCTTAAAGAACACCAAACGTAGATACAGTCAAAACGCGTTGTGTTAAAAGCCTCATTTACGTCCAACGTGTACCCATTGGTTCAAAGATGCGGTTCGGGTTTAGCAACGCTCGAAGTCTAAAAAAGCATGAACTAGATCTACCATTTGGCTTGGGTATAAAACAGTAAATTTTTTTACCTTTACTTGATTCTACAAACAGCTACCATTAAAATCAATTCCCGTTGACTGCAGTTACGATGGAAACGATAGAGATATATGGTGTATTAGGAGGCTGCTACAATAGATTCTATTAGCTGTTATATATATAGACAACCTTGATCTGACCTAGAGCTACTGTTGTTATTACCGTTATGTGCTTCAAATCTCGATGATGTCGGGCCGATTAGTAAATCGAAACAAAATTCGCTACCGCAAACAGATTATCACAGTATTTACAAATACATTACATTGCTATAGCTGAAAATTCTATTTACTTTAAGTTTATTCGAAACAAAAACACCAACAATTTATCATTCTATCAGAATATATAATCGATATACCAAAAAGAGTGACAATTAACTTAGAAAGTATAGTTACTATCCGCAGCATATATTTGTGTTAGAAAACACTTACTCCTATACATCCGAGAGCTCTGAACAGCTAGCCATGGCTAAGGCGTACGCTGACACCGGCTAGGGGCGCGGTGTATCTAGACGCCACAAGTGCGGCCAAGTTTTTAACTTAATTAGTTTAAAACTGGCCAGTTCTGGTCTTTAGCAGAAAGCTAGAGAAAGTTAGAAGGCTTCCTCATGTATTACAGTAGAAGTGCCGCTTGTAAGATGGCTTTCCCTTCCGTAGGACTCAAGACTGACCTTTGCTTCGGAAACAAGCGGCTCTCAACCCGAAGTATATTCTGATTCTATTCGTAACGAACTGATAACCGACGTGCGTCGATCGAATACGAACCGTACCGCCGGACGACGATTGTAGGTAACTTACGTATTGCGTAAAGATGATGTTACAGTTGTCCCGTTCATCTAATTTGAGCCTTGTAAACCTATAGACAGCATGTCGGTTTTTGTTACGCTTCATCGTCGTTTGTTACTCGTTCGATTGAACCAAATCGATGTTGTCGGTCGTCTTTGTTGTTAATGAATGGATGGATGGATGGATGCATTACGGGGGTGTAGGTGGTTCGGAAAATGTTTGTGTCTGCTCGCCGATCGTCTGGCGAAATTCGTATGATTAGCAAAACCTATAGTGAACATTTAGTGCTTAGTGAAATACTTACGATAACTGGCCCGTTTGCCTAAATTAGTGGTCCGCATAGAATATCTTCCAGCTCCATGTTACCTGTACCGAGCATCCTGTCTATAGAAGAGTACGCGAAAGTCCAAACGCCCCCAGGCGTTCTGACGCAGCAGCGTCAAGACTGTTTTTGTCAACTGATATACGGTATACATATATTGTTCAATAGTCGATAAAAACGTTATCTGAATGCCATGGTATTGTGTCATTGGACGCTATTCGGATACAAGCTATTCCATGTTTATAATATGAATAAAATTGTTGTGGACAGATTGTTTGGGTCATAAAGAAACCCACAAATGACTCGACGAAGACAATTAACATTTGATGTTGGCGTTGCAGTGTTCCCTCGATAACACAATTGATACCCGTAAGGAATATTTACTATCAGCAATCACTGCGACGAAACACGCTGATATAAAGATAGTATCAACTTGATATGGATGTGATCGAAGGAACAGCGTATCTAGTCCGCTTTCCGCTTATAAGAAACGCAATTTGTTCTAATCTATTCGATGTGCTAACGATATGATACCTGTTTGAACGAGAACAATTTATAAACACGGATCGAAGCAGATACAGAAAAAACCGGTGCAAGAACTTTGTAACGGCGAGCGCCAGGACGACGAGCGCCAGGACGACGAGCGCTAACGGCAAGGGGATATGGCGGATGAGAAGCGTCGTCTGCAAAATGGTGCTGTCTATTCACCGCGGCAAAATACTGTGCAGTGAATGAGGCTGCTTTCAGGGCTTTGCGTATGAAGCTTGCTGACATTGAATGTTTTGTAATAAAAACCACGTCTGCGAACATGGCATAACGTAAATAAACGTAGAGTCGAGATGAGAGACCAAGCTAAACTAGCCAGATCAGTACGGTGCGTCAGCAAGTGTACTTGCAGCGGCAATGCTTTTGGACATATGTCGTAGTGTCGACATACATACAATCTGAATACCAATAGTTAGGACCATGTAGGAGCCGAATAACTTACTGCCAAGTTAAAAAATCTTAGATCTCTTTGTAATATCGTCCAGTTGTACTATTCGATACCTATTGGCAAATAAATGAGATTTTGTTTCAGTTCGATGATTTTTTTCTAGGCTAATATCGTATGCTTTTTTCCCGTTGCGGGCCACAAAATGAAAGTTGCGTGCCGAGGAGATCCAGCGTGGCCTGCCTTAAAGCTGTTATTATAGTGCCCAAAGACTTTGCAGAGCCGTAGGTTGTGAGGAACTTGGGGCGTTCGCCCAAAACAGAAACACTAAGCTAGAAAATACTTAGATAGCTAACTTCTCTATGGGAAAACAAACTCGAATTTCTTTTTTTATCATAATAGAAGGAGCGAAGTGTTCGCTATTTCTAATCGTTACCACATTTGTGTTGTAGCCAGAAAAAAAAACAGTTTAGTTTAGGAAAAGTTCGGTAAAAAATGACAGCTGTCAGTTTTTCCGGTTGCCAGTTCTCGGTATCTGCAAACGTCCTTGCAATCAGGCTCCAACAGCATCCGTTCTTCGAGCCCAAGAACATTTCCGCCAAATCGATATCAGTCGAATTGGTTCTAATTGAAACAACAGCATCTTTAAAATTGACAGTAGACCACCGCACTAAGTAAGCCAGAACAGCTGTCTTTTCTTCTTTATTATTTGTCTTATAAACTCCTTAAGCCCCGTCTTCTATGTATCTTTATGAGAAGCCCTAATAACGAATTCCTCTTTTTGCCTGCCCGAATCCGTTAGTCATAACCGACCACAAACATCTCGCAACGAAAGAAAACCCTTTTTCCCGTCGCAATCTACCGACCAAGCAAAAAAGTCGAAGAACTAAGCAACAAATCTAAGGGCGGCCATGTATGTACATAGTACATCGCGTATACCACCGCGTCTTTGCCCAGCGTCGTCTAAGCGCCCGTTACCCAACGACCCAGCGAATCGACAAGCACACAAACCGACTGAGCAACAAACCTACCTATCTATCCATTCCATCTATCTATCTACCTACCTACCAATCGGCCAACCGAACGGCGATCTAGGCTTTTCGAATGTCGCTCTTCACCCATAGAAACAACTGTATTTCTCTTCGGCCAGCTCCGTGAGAAAATCACGAACATCTAATCACGAATTGCGCCTCAGTCACCTTTCATTCATTTAGTACCGCCATGCCAAGTTTTTACGTCCATTCACGTAAAAAGACGCCAGTAACGACAAAGACTACGACGCCGTGAGCAAAATGGAGTGAGGGCAAGCAACAAAACACACGCCGATGTCGATGATGATTATGATGAAACTACAGCAGCTGCTGATTTTGGTGATGCCGTTGCTCGTGGCGGTGTCAAGGAAAGAACCCGACTCTGAAGTGATTCTAGCACCAGCCAGCTAATCATTATCAGCAGTACAGCCTCATAACTATTTCCTGACCCTTCTCCCGCTACTCGACAGGCGAGAAGCTGACCGCAAAGCTAGCTAGTAATTGGCGACTGAAAGTACTCTGCAAACGAAATCCAGAATAGCTTAACCAGCGTACAGATAGCGATGTACTCAGCAGTACGGCACCTTCTACTAATACCAAACAGTAGTATTGAAAACAACAGGGCATGAAAAGGAATCGAACCCTTCGCGAAAGAGACAACAGCAAATTGTAGAAGAACTGCCATACAACCAGGATAAAACATTGTGGAAACAATATGCTCACTAGAACGAAAATGATTTACGTCGTGAGCCTTACATGCTCGTGTGTGGAGGTTTACGCCCCATGTCGACTTGGGCCGGTTATAGCGGCGACGGCGTCGCTGGCGGTAGAGATGTCTAATTTAATCTAATATATTCAATTTAATCACCTCAATATCATATCCCGTTTATTTGGCTGTGTGCGAGGCTTGTACGCGGCGATCAGTCTGCGACCGGCGCAACATGGCTCACTACGTAAATGTTCTCCTACACGGTTCTCCACCATGAACCCCGAGTAGCAGACGTGCAAAGGACAGAATCCGTTCAACGAGTGAAGCAACAGCACTCACTGCTGCGTACAAGCATGGCCCACCATTTCGTCGATTGAATGAATATATTACTCGCTCATTTCTCTTCAGCAGCCATTGAAGTTACATGGTGTCGGATATAATGATAAGGGTACGCAGAATGAAGGAGTCAAGTATAGGAAGGCAGGAAGGAAAAATCCGCAACAAACAATTTCATACCACTTTCTATTTAAACTGAAGAATAGGTTTTTGTGCACAATTCTAAACTATTTGTACTTATTGCTACGACGTAACGTTGCAGCACAATTAAAAACCGCGATCTCCTAGCTGTCTAGACTTTTTTTTCGGACAAATGATGTAATCTTTTTAGCACGTATGAAATCAATGAAAAATTAGGTCGTCTTCTTAGTCATGCACACGTCTGGTTGGCATGTACGGCTTGCCATCGTCGCAGCTTCAGCGTATCACACAGGTTCGTCGTCTCTGTTAATCGTTGCTTTGTTACCACGCTTTACCTCAATACCGACCTGAAGGGTTGTCCTCAGCTGGATCATGCCTAATCACACTTGAGATCGATTGGCATTTTGAATCTTAAAATATCTGTACGTCGGATTGGGGCCTGTGAGACAAAACAATCGGGGCGGAACTCAAGGCCTGACAGAAATCGTTGGAAGGTAAGAGAGAAAGCCAATTAGTATCGACCGAAGCAGCAGCGACAGAAAAAGAATCCTATCGACTTCGTGTTATGTTTTATGTTATCACATCATCATCAGCAGCGGCAGCAGCAGCAGCAAATAAACAAAAAGAAATTGCATTAGACCAAATAACAGTTTTGAGCCGCTGCGGAGAACGGCGGGATCAGGCAACCTCCACAACAGATGACGAGAGCAATTGTAAAGCCGAATCTCAATACATATAAGCGATTGTTTCGTAGGTCTCCTGGAGCGCGTAAATAGCGAATATTTTCGAAGCATGAAGGAATCGACGCTTAGATACGCGAACTCATAAAAATTTGATTGAGGCTCTCATATTGCTAAGCAGAAACCGTATTTTCCATCGTACTTCATATTTATCGTGCAATTAAAATCAACATTGTAGCATTTCGTTCAATGGAAGCTCTTGCCCTCATGAAGCTCTAAATAGGTCAAATTGCCTCGTTATTCGTCACTTTCAAAGGAAGACGGCCTAATGCACCTGGCCCTTTTGTGGACAATGACTCAGAACTCACTCACGGCTTCGGCTGGTACACTGTTGATAAACAAATTAACCAAATACCTAACACCACCGACTCGAACATGCCGTAACCTGCCATCGAGCAAACTTTCATTGTCTCGTTACACTGTGACTATAGTATCAGCCTGTTCGTTGTCTTGTTCAGCTAATGATTGCGGCTTCAGAAACTTAGCTTGCCAGTTAAACTTAATAAACATTCAAAAAATTTCCCCAAAATAACTAATAGTTATTCATTCCAAACAACAAAATAACACCTTAGCCCATCATTCATAATGTGTTAAAAATTAGAACAGCTGGCAGTGATCATTCCCGATATATATTTTTTCAACTCTTTTTTTTGTTTTTATTTGTAAGCAGCACGGTGACGACGACGACGACAATAACAGCATAGGCCGACATTTCCCTTTGGCCTACAGGATGGATTTTGTGTTTGCTACTGTGAGTGGATGTATGGGAGTGAATTATGCGTTTTTTTTGGCGTCAATTCAGTCGAACTGCTACCGACTATTAAAAGGTGCAACAACCCATAGCATCACAGGTTAACCCTTTTAGGGTAAATGACAGAAGAAACACGAACGAATCTCTGATCATTTTCGTCCAATGGCCGTTCAAGTCAGATATCTACATGTAGATAGTAAATAGGTAAATCGATATGATGGTTATTATGACGTTATGGGCACGCGGTGCTCGACCGTTATAAAAGTGCCGTATCAACAGACTATTCTGGTGCTATGATCAGGCGTTTTCGTGACAGCATTTACCTTTAATGGTTGACGTTCGTACAGTAACAGAGTTCTACTGATAAAAAAAAGACAGAGTGTCCTAGGAGTAGAAATAGACTGTGGAATCAAACAGATTCGCCAATAACAGTGACAACAAACCTGTATCTGAATAAAAATCGTCCGTGATCGCAGCGCAAGATCATGTGACGATTGGAAAGATTCGTAGAAGAACAGCAGACGATAGTCGGACATCAGGCTCAAATCTGTTTTCAGTTGTTGAGAGGTCACAGGAGACTTCAACGCTGACAAAAGTCAAACTGTAATTTCAACGTTCATTGACTGCAACGATCCACGATGTCATAGAGTATGGCGCCTGAATTGAGGCCTTTCGATGGTTTATTTTTAGGATTATACAGTAGAACAGTCAGTCAGCGTAATTACAGCTTCGGCAATCGGAACCTGAATCACTTGCTTGTCGTCTTCAAAATATCCCTTTTTGATTCACAATTACCGCTTTAGTATAAATCGTACGGCAAACAACTTTGATATGGATAAACTCGGTGAAGTCTTGCTTAAATACGCTATAAACAGAAAAATTTGGCGGAATTACATTTGTTGTTAATTATAGGCCAAAAGAGCCAAAAATGCAATGGCTCGTAATGATCAGAAACTTTAAAAAAAAATGCAAAAAAAGACGCAAAAGCTTCCACTGACGATTGGAACATACCTGAGCGACCGATATTATATACATATGATATTTTTCTCTTCTGAAGCCCATCATTTCTGTATCAAAAATACAGGTGTATCAATATGGTTTTTTGAGTCATTTTGGTGAATTCTAGGTCTCTCATATCTAAGCCCAACTAATAATCCTCCGGCTTTCATCACGGAGACCTTCCTTGGATTTTTTAAAAGCATTATCAAATTGGCGTATACCGTCGATTTTGACAAAAAGAAACATTTTAAATCTTAATGGGAGTTCGTCCATCCATAAAGGTCGTATGATAGCCTATTCTAGCTTTTTATTTCGTTTAGAGAAACGACCCATTCTGTCCACCATGATGAATGACCAAGAAGGAAGCGGCTCCTTTCTAGTTCTAAGATTGGCGGATGAACGCATGCTCGCTATCACAAAAAGCCCGC